ATTCCTCCTCAGTTATGCTCACGAGACTGAGTGGACCCCGTTCCAGACCCACTACTTCTGAGAAAATCTGGTAGCGCCGGGAATCGAACCCGGGGCCTCTGGATCTGTAGCCAGGAACTCTGACCACTAGACCACAGAGGCGATCTTTATATATTTTGTTACACGTATTGATTAAGCAGTTACATGATGACGTTACGGTTTTAAGGAAGCGATTCTCTGTCAAGTTCTGTGATATTTACTTACTGACTAGTTGAAATTCAAATGATTTAAAGCTACAGTCATTCGATATAAGTTTTAGTGTTTTCCTGTTACCAAATTTAATCAAAATCCAATTAGTGAAACGCGTCGAAGATCGGGTAGGGTCAATGATGCACTTCCCCATTGTGAATTTATTTTATGCAGTTTGAACATATATCAAAACAAATAAACAAGCAAATATTATTTGATATATATCTTTTATACAGTTAACCTTCGTGTACAGAATTCGTCTGTCCCTTGGTTCTGGGTTACGACTTTCCGTATTTTCTTGAAAGTTGCCGCTCACACCATGATACCGTTATCTCCTTTTAAGTCTGTTTATTTTCATGGACTAGACCAGTTCGCTGAAGAACTTCCATCTTCTTCCCGCCCCCACCCCCATCCGGTTCGTGTTAGTCAGAACAGAAGAGCTTCAGGCTGCTTCACCACTTCACCGCTATCAAGTGCTTGAGCGGCTTCTCTCCGTGGCCGTGTCAGCCCAAGGAGCACACCTGTTGTATCTGCACAGAATCGTCCTGGGGTTATGCAAAACTGAGTTTACAAACTATTGCACAAATGGTGGAATTGGGCCTTCTCGAGAAACCGACAATCGTTCAGCTCGTCAAGAAATTCCCCAGAGGTTTTACAAGTGTCATATAACGGTTTAGAGACAGCAGCGAATGTTCCTTGTTCCCCATCCATAAAAGAATTGGGCCATAAAGTCGTGTTCCGAGCTAAGTAACTTGGCCTGTCCATCGATACGTAAGATGGCCTACAAAATCTGTCGTCCTCCTGTGAGGATGTAAGAATATACGTGCCGTCGTACTGGAGTCATCCTTTCCACGTGTCCGTGCCAATTATTTTTGGTATTTCTGTACATCCGACAGTGTAGGCCTACTGCTTACTTCCAGTTGTGCCCGTATCGTCTCACACTTAGAAGATTACTCCTATTGCTGGTCTGAGAAACCTCATTTGAGATGTTGCCATTCTCCTGTCATCTTCTTCCCCAGCAGCCATGTTCCACTACCATTTACAGAAAGTATTACAATTATTAGAACTGGTTTGAAGAGGACGTGCATTTCTTTTACTTCTGTGGTGTTTTCTAATGCATCTGTTCAGTCTGTTATATTTTTGTATACTTCTTCTAAATCCATATTAATTTTGTATTCTGATATTTGGGAGCCGGAATAGCGTAGGTGGTATAGCGGCTGGACGAGCGAAGGGGTCGGAGGTCGAGTCCCGATAAGGTCAAGAATTTTCTCTTCTCCACAGCATCCAGACCGGCTCCGGGGGCCACCCAACTTCCTATCCAGTGGGTACCGGGGGCTCTTTCCCCGGGGTAAAGCGGCCGGGGCGTGAGGATGACCACTCACCTCCAGCTAATGCCGAGGTCAAGAAAATGTGGATCTATACATACACTCCACCATACGCTTTCATGGCGTAATGCTTAATTATATAAGTGCAGGGACAACTTTACCTTATGTTGATACATTACAGTGTAAATGTTTGGAAGAATTTACCTGCTCTCGTGTGTTTCGTTTTATACGAGTAACTGTTTTACCAGCCATTGCCATGACTTCAGTTTTGTTCATTGATATTATCATGTTTCCAGTATTCTGTGCAGGTATTTACGTTCTCAAACACCTGCGATATTGAAACCTAGATTTCGCTTGAAGGAGGAAATTCGGGCGTCCAGTAGGTGGGCTTGTTGTGAGCAATTGTTTTGAGCACTGTTGCGTTTCCTCTGTGGATGAGTTCACGCCATCCATTCCTCCAGTTCGGCCCATTTTTCCCAGTATTGTTATATCAACAATTCAATTGTTCTATTGTGACCGTCGTGGCTCCCGCCGGCGGCACGATATGACGTCAGCAGTACCGGCGCTATGACGTCATTTTCTCGTTCTCCGTCAGATCGATTGTTCCCTCTTACACAGGCTGCTCACATACCATCAAGCTGCATTTGCTCTCCTAGGCTGCTGCGGACCTTACTGTGGGCCCCTGTTGTATATTTTAAAGTTAAGGGAAGTTTCCGTCCAAATTAATATGATCCCCATGTCCTCCCGCCCTCTGCCTGTACGAAGCGGCTTTGTCAGCTGTAACTGCAAGTGTCAAAACATTGACTCGATGGAGAAGAATTATTTTCGTGGGGCTGAGAGTTCCTCAGCTGGGCATGCGATTCCTAAAAGAAAGAAAGGATTGTGGAACCCGGAGGTTAATTACCGATTGTCCAAGACCCTATTCTTAGCCAGTCAGAGACACTCCAGACTTCACACTCAAACCTTTAAGCTTATCCTTCCATCTACATCAACTTTTCCTAAGCTGTCTCTTTCCTTGTGTGATTATGAACAGAGGAGCTGATGCTGGATGCACGTGCATTTGGAAGTTTTGTGTGCCTGGAACTGACCAGTTCAGTTTCGTGTAGTAGGTAGGATATTATTGTGATAAGTCGTCTCCGGACACTTGCTCCTACAGCTGTTCTTTCCATTTGTTTATTCTTTATCTTTTCTGTCTCAAAACGCCCATATCATCGGAGATAAATAATCTGAGTAAGTGAGATTGCTTTCTTAAGTATCTGAACACTTGACATTGAATTCGATTGTTTCGTGGTTTTAAAGACAAGTGTTTGCGTTTCAACTTGCAGAAAGTTGATATATATTTAGAAGCTTAATAGTAATCCAAGATAAAGAGCTGGTAATTTCCAACTGTTTGTGAACACAGATTTTTTCGGAGAAGTAGTGGGTCTGAAACGGGGTCCACCCAGCCTCGTCATGATAATTGAGGAGCTATTTCAAGGAAATAGCGGCTTCGGTCTATAAAACCGAAATTAACGGCCGTGGGGATTCGTTGTGCTGACCACGCGACACCCTCTATCCACAAAAGTTGGCACTAAAACTTCGCCGACAAGCGGCGGTCGTTCGGTCGGTATGGTTCGCTTGCGGACTGAAATCACGGAGTTGTGAACAAATTCATTGCAATAAAAACGCCTATAATTACAGAGGGGATATTCTCGAAAATGTATATAATGTGCAGCCGACCCCGTCTTGATATTTGGACTATAGCGAGATGAACTATCAATTGGATAGCTCAGGGTTTATATCAGATGTGAGGTTCCTGTCTGTGGGGAGGTGATACGCAGTCGTCGACACCACGAAAGTTGACACCTACTCACTGTTATCGTGAATTCTACTTCCTCCAGTACAACTAACCACAATTACAACAAATGGTCTGAAGGCTCGACGAAATGTTATACATTTTATTATACTGGCCGGTTCTAAATTATTGTGGGGGGTTTCCGCTTACAGGCCACGAAGACCCGACAGTAATTTAGAATCACCCCGTAGAAGCGATCTCTAATGATGTTATCAGCGTTGATTTCGGCGTGGGCCGAATTTATGTCCACTGTCTCTGAAACCCAAAATGCCAGTGAGTGGAAACTGCTTCTTCTTTCGGAAAACTTCAAAATTGGGCACGAACCATGGAGTCAAGCTCTTCGCGCAACCATTGGTCCGTTTAAATGTAGCCGCTTTGTGCTGTTTTTAAATACTCCAGACGTTATTGGTCAATTCTCAAAATATTACCACATGCTCTGCAGCGACCAAATGGGCATCTGCTTTTTGTAAACTGTAACCTCAGTGAGTTTTATGTTCACCTTCCCAGGTTGAATTTGACGGCGTAATTCAGAACTTTCCTCGTCAACTAAAACAGAGCAGGTGTTAAGTCTGACTTTGACACCGCGGCATTCAACTAAGGCGAGGAGTGTAACTTGTTTCTAAAGTAGGAAAACCGACGGAATGCAAAATACGCGATTAAAGTACCAAACGAATTAATCATTTTTATATTTCATCTTATCGTTTCACAAAACCCAATTAATTTAACCTAACCTTTGTACAGTTAGAACTGTATTCATTGAATACACAGAAATCGCATACACAAGCAGAAATGACTTATGAATTTGAGTACTGCAACCGTCGCATTTTTTCTGTGCAAGATTTGTTTTTATTTCATATATCGCAGCACCCGGTACTGTGTTTAGAGACACCGTACTGACTATTGCAGTGGATCCTAATATCTAAAATTCCTGGCCAAGTCTGTTAACAAAGAGTAATAGTATCTTCCTGCATGCGAAATCATTTCATAGCGTGTATCTGGGTTTATATCTCTCACTGTTTCGATGCTTGGAAACAGTACAGTCCCATATCCTATGATGTCAACCTATACTTCGATTTATGGAACGTACATAAATTCCAATTCGAAGCAGGTAAATTTATCCCTGTCTGTCACGGTAGCCAAGCGGTCTAAGGCATGCACTGTCTTCGCTCGCTCGGAAGCTGGGATCGTGGGTTCGAATCCCATTCAAGGCATGGATGTTTAGTGTTTGTGCGTGTGAGTGCGTTTTTCTGTGTTCGTGTACTGGTAGAGGCCTTGCGACGAGCTGACCACCCGCCCAAGGAGTCCTACCGAGTGTCTAAGATCTAGTAAACCGAAGTGAAACGGAGAATTTCATGGATGTAGGCCTAGGCCCAAATTGGGGCTGTAGCGCCAAAGGAGAAAACGTTATCCTTAGAGTTAATTAATTAAACACCATCCCATGAAGACGTATGGGAGAGTTGAGGTAATAGCTCCACCATTCTGTATTTCGACACTAGATGGAGGTGAGTGGTCGGCTTCACGCTGTAGCTGCTTTACGCCCAGGGAACCAGCCCCCGCCACCCATTATGTACGAGGCTTGGCAACAGTACGGTATATGAAGTCTTCAGTATTCAGCGCCACGGCGAAAAGTAATATAACTCATTTAACTCATATAACTCATATACACGAGGGTTGAAACTTTAATAATGACAACTATTTATTTACAACTGATACAAAATAGATGCATGTTTCGAAGTTTTACTGTCCTTCAGTGTAGTCGCCAGCATTGCGTACAACCCGTTGCCAGCGATGTGGAAGTCGTAGGATACCTTTAGCAGCGCCTGTTGTGTTGATAGCTTGAATGGAGCGGTCTACTGCCTAAAGAATCTCTGGAACAGTTCTGAAGCCAATGCCACGAAGTGGTTCCTTCATCTTAGGAATCAAGTCGAAGTCACAAGGGCTTAAGTCCGGGGAGTATGGTGGATGGTACAGCACTTCCCAGCCCCATCGATCGAACAAATCAACCACAGCTTGCGCTGCATGCGGCCGAGCTTTGTCCTGCAAAATGATGGGTGGGTTCTGCAGAAAGTGTCGCCGCTTCTCTCTCAAAGCTGGTCTCAGGTTGTGTTCCAAAACTGAACAGTAATACTGCGCATTGACGGTCTGCTGTCGGGGAACGGTATGCGTTAGGATAACACCATCACAATCGTACACGAGAATCACCATAACTTTCACATTGCTGGGGTTCTGACGAACTTTTGATTTTCGTGGTGACCCGTAATGACGCCATTCGTTCGATTGGCGTTTCATTTGTGGCTCTTAACGATTTGGCCCATGTCTCATTCAGCGTAATGATACGGCGTAAGAAAGCCTCTCCTTCGCGCTCATAGCGCTCCAAGTGGTTACGAGCAGCTTCGTATCGTAACCATTTCTGCATTTCCGTCAAATCATGCGAATCCCATCGTGATGAACAATTTTTCCCACGTCCAGGCGTTCCTTCAGAATGTGAAGCACAGTCGTATGCGCTAATCCTGAGAGAAATCCGGACAAAGAACCGACCCCTTTTGCTTGTTATTGACAGCAATGCAAAATAAGCGATACACTTGACGGACTAGATAGGATTGGTTATTGGTAATGAGACGCGACTTGGTGACGTCATGGTTTGCAGAGATCAATCTGGGCTGCTTATGAGGAAAACAACCTACCGTCACACACACAAAGATGAAGCTGGTCCATAAGTAGCACATCCGTGTGTATGTGTGAGAGAGAGATTCCGTAAGCCTTTCAGCCTCCCGCTAAGAAGCGTTAAACAAATGAATTTATATTAAACCTGAAATAAAAGGTATACATAAAACATTCTATCTAGCAGACCTGAAAGAAGAGACCTGTTCATAGATTCAAGCGTATTAAAATGGGTTTCACATAAATGGGGTGTGAAACTATGGACAGTGTTCTGCTGGATCAGGATAGAGTCCCGTGAGCAGTCTAATAAACTTTCGGACTATATCAATAGTGAGGAATTTCTTGGTCAGCCGAGCGAATGTGAGTTTCTTTTTCTCCTCCATAGAGTTGATGACATGTTTTATCCAGGAGAGTTACCTTCAGCATTAGTACGTTTATATATGTGAAGACAACCGAGTATCTTATGGGGGCTGGTTACTTTATTGAATTCGCGTAGTTTTAATTTAGAAGCATAATGATGCATGGAGCATTCAGTTAAAGGCTGTAATCATTATTATTTTTTATATTTCGCCGAGATACGAATGATATGATTTTGATGTAGTTGTGTAGGAGTCTTTATAATTAAAAATATAACACGATGCTCACGAAAACGCGCGTGAATCTGCAACGTCTCCATGTCATGCATATTGGACCTTGCAGAACAGAAATGATCTAGTTTCGTTGCTACTTTACGAACCGACGCGAAAACAATAGCCAAATATTGCAACATGTCGATTGAGTGAATAGTGTTAGGAAATTGGGATTTATGGGACCCCGGATGAACTCTGTTCTCCAGCCAGTAGCCGGGGGTAGCTAGCGACCACCTCAACCCTCGGCTGCCACCGACAGCTTACCTTTGACATTTACCAAGTTCGCAGGCAAGCGGGCGGCGGATCCTGGGAGCAGACGGTAAGGGAAGAGCAAGGGGGACTATCAACGGGACCTGCGCGTATCATGTCCTCATAATATCTACCCTCCAGCCTCTTCCCCCTTCACACCCGTTCTGAAAATCCTCCTTATTCAACTCTTTTTCTCAATCACAAACAGTCGTACACTCGTAATTCGGTGCAGTGTTGACATCTCGATAGATTGTTGTGCTGAGTGATGATGTGTATGTGATTCTGAAGTTTCTATAGAAGAGAGTGGTGAAAGTTAAATAGTTTTTATTAATTAAGCCACAGGAGTGTGATATTTCTTACAAATATAGGTCAGTGCTTTGTACAGATATAGCTAACAGTTTGCCAGTCGCGTTTTGAAATCACGTCTTAAAAAGCGAACCGGGATTTGAAGAAGGTACAGTGGCGCGTGTCGGTAGGGCCATGATATCATTCCATAAACGTAACTGTTGGGAGTCCACTATCAATCAATATTAGTGGATAAATTCATTTGTGTTATGAGCGTAGAAACGCGTCTAGATTTGTCATTGCTGTTAAGCATATTTTCCTAATAAAGCACGGCGAAAACTTTTCCCGCAGGCTTATGTAAGTAAGTAAAGTAAAGGTATTCCTGCAACAAGCCGTGGAGGCCCATAGGGTTGTGAAATGTTGAGGTTCCCACATTTTCTATACAATCGGCTCACAGATGGCGGCAAGGTTGTCAGCCCTAAGCGCCGGCCTCCCTTTAGCCCCAAGAATATTTCTGGTACTAATTTCTGTTAGAGGCTGAGTCGTCCCCAGGGCCATAGTGCGGCTGGAAGGATTAGGTCAATTGAAAAAAAAATCCAATGACCTCATCGGGACTTGAACCCGCGACCTTCCGGCTTGTAGCATAGTGCCTCAACCAACTACGCTAGGCTTATATAGCGTCCGTAATTATTAGATATACTCACAATTATAACTACACCAACTTGGTACCGGTGTATTCAGTGAAGTCTTTGTACGTTATCCATTTGTGGTACAACTTAAACCGGGAGTTCTTGTTGTTACCTCCAGTTTGTCAGTTGTGTCAGCACTATGATAAGCGCGGCAGTTCTGATATTCGTTGTCTTACATAGCGTCTAATTCAGAGCCATACGGAACCGTTTGCATTCTGACTGGATCACTTTTAGAGTCCTCGTTGCGAACCACAGATTCATCACTTCCCCCTTCCCCCCCCCCCATGAACTACCTCGTGCAAGTTACAATTTACAGCACAGATAGAAACGACTGATAGTGCCATACTGTTACTGTAATAGATTCTGGAAAGTTGTAATCGCTACAGCAAAGTATTTCTCTTTATTGTGCTGCAGGCCGATGAGCGAACTTGCGGGCCCTTATTTCAGTCGGCCAACGCTGGAATGCTGATGAAAAAGCACGAGAGCTTCGGATAATCAGTTCTGAGATTCGATCCAAGAAACTTGGGGGGGGGGAGGCGGTGTTTGGAGGTGCCATTTTGTCTGTTGTGATATTGCAAGGAATGTAATTTCATCAAATGGCTCAGAGTCTTCGTATAGGAATTGATCAGTCGAACAGAGAGTAAGATTATAAGTCAGTGGCGTTTATTGTGCGTTTCATAGTCCCCGTTGGATATCCGTAACGACAGCAGACGAAGGCGAAATAGAATATCAGACTTCGTTCCTTAGCTTGCCATGCACTAAATTAACACTTACAGGATGTAGAAAACGTCATTGTGGAGCGGTTAGTACCCGTGATTTCCCCCAATCACT